TGATAAAAAAGCTAAGTATTATCAGGGTGCGTCATCAGACAATGACATAATGGGAGGCTCAAACTATTTGGCATTGATAACTGACAAAGATCATTTGCTTTTACAGGCCGTCAATCCCAAGTCCATTGGTTTTTACCGTTACAGCTTTCTACTCTAACAATGGGGATTACATTGTATTAACATACAACATTAGAGCTAGCTGTTACAATTAGAAACCTTTTAAATCACTTTCAACATGATATACTTTTATATGATATGGCCTTTACCACTTTAGTTACAAAAAACAAACAATTAACGTTCTTTTTTTTAATGGAATCAATCATTTCTTACTGTGTAATTTTGCTTACAATTACTGACAGGTTTCTATCTTAATGTAATACCTGCTTTATGGGCAACCATACATCAACAAGATTATCTCATGAGGGTAAGACACTCAGAGGACCTTCAAAGGAAATGGGCAGATCATCCAAGTTTAGCAAAGAGGCCTGCATATCAGCAGCGACTGATAGAGGACAAATGTATAAATGCACTTAAAATGACCTTTTAATAACAAAGAAAAACGATAAAACACACAGACACATACTGTACACACAGACTGAAACACACACAGACTGAAACACACACAGACACACACAGACACTGACACTCAGACACACAAAGGTCTCGCTCTGAGCTGAGCACTAGTGAGGCATCAGGGTTGCACAGCCTAATATTTGACTGAGCTGTGTTCGGGCAGCCAGCGCTGTGATGCTCCTTACATAACGCTGTGTTTATACGCCCCCGGTGGATCTGACTTATCGGCTGCTTGGGATCTCTGAAATTGATAAAAAATAGAATTATTCCCCCTGTATGATGAGCAAAGATCAGTCTTTGTCGTCCATGCTCGGTTGGCATTATGATGTCAATGAGTGAAAACAAAAAAGGCAACATTAGGCATGTGTAATCCCTTAAAGCTGTTTCATGTAATTTAATAAATAAACTGCTCCTCTCTATTCTCCGCTCCCCCCCCATGACAGGAAAATGACTCATGCATATTTCAGCAGTTTGTCTGCCTGTTCTGAGTGGAGCTTATTGTGGCTGCTTTCAGACGCCAAATGAACCCTCTTTTCCTTCTCCTCTCTCTCTGTCCTCACCACTCCGACGCCCGGTTCTTAATCACAATTCAGCATTTCAGGAGGAAAAGCATGAGAGTAGAGACATACATCTTTGCCTTATGAAAACAACATCAACATCAGTATCAGCTTGCCTTTGGCGTTCTCAATTATTAACTTCTTTTTGAGGAAAAGTTTTGCTGAGTCAAAGTCCTTGAAATACACGGTATGGATCAATTGATGTTCAATATGCACACATCTAATGAGTAAAACCTTTGAGGGTAAATGTGTTTTTCTAACTAAGGATATTCCCACATTCAGTAAAGTCATTAACAAACATAACAACAGTCCTCCTTGTGGGTCAATTGAAACAGGTCTATTTACTTTCCGAGCACAGCAGGTATAACATAATCAAAGGGCACCTTGCACTGATGGTTGGACGTATATCGTGTTTACAGTGTGTAAACATTTGTTTGCAGCTTTCCAGTGAGCAGACATGTCTGTGATGTGGACCTACATGCAAATGCATTCTAGTGGTTGGGGAGAACAAGCACAATTAAGTAATTGATTGAAGTTTCTTATGCTCTGTTTACACGAGAACGCAAACGGTTGTATCTGCTACTTTTGTCTTTCGTATAGCCCGTTCGTTCACACGAGGCCGTAACGGAAACGCGGAAACGGACCCCGCAAACGATAACGGGTCCCAAGGTGGATAGATCTGCAAACGGAACGCTCTGGGAGGCCAAACGGCTCCGTGTGTACGCCCTGTACGATAATTTCCTGATAACGATGAAGCCATAGCCCCGCCTCTGCTGCTCACTGCTGTAGCATGGACAGTAGCTACTGACCATGCTACAGATGTTAGTGCAAAATCTACAGCTCCTCTACCACAACCATCAGCAACAAGTGGACATGGAGAACTACATGAACTACATGTTGCTAAATCCACCGCGGAGAATAAACAGAAGGGAAACCATGGCAACCATGCTCGGGGATCTTCTTCGCTGCTTTTGGTGTATTTTGTGGCGAACGTACAGTGCCACTTACAGGCCCGGCATATGTACTACAGCGTCTCCAGCGCTTCCGAGCGGTCTCGTGTGAACGGAATACTTTTTTGATATCGTATTCGGTTAGTTTGCGTTTCGTATGCGTTTGCGTGTAAATGGGGTCTCAGCCATTTCCTGTAATTCTTACTAATGAAAACTATTCCCAGGCAACCATATGAGCCCATAGCTAGAAAATAAAAGTTCTGCACTAAGAATGAACTTGTTCACTACTGAAACATCTACATCTTACCTTTATTTTTATTTAATCGTTTATTTGAACCGGGACAATGCACATTAATGAACATTTTAAACAGAATAATGCTTTGAATTGTAAATTAGCCGGATTTTAGCTTTGAGCTAATTTCCATCCGTAGTCCCGTCACATACAACATTTATGAACCTATAACTTTACCATGTCCACAATGTCTCTCAAAAGCCGAAAATCTGAGCATAAGTAGGAAAAGACAAGCACAGATTTTGCATATATATGTGTCTAGTATGTGGAATTTGCCAGGCTAGAAAGTGTTCCACTGAAATTAAAGCACCACAATAATGTTGTGATAAAATAAATACAGTGTTTTGTTGTCTGTACATTTATGGGTACAAGGCTTCTGTAGCTAATTGCTCATTTGAGCTGCACACATTGTACTTTAAGTCTTAACAATAGATTTTACATTTTGGAAATATGGCTGGTGCTCTTACCCATAATTTCCCAGTAAATGCGTAGCTAGAGTATAGGGCTTCTTTGCCTTACTCAAGGACACTTCAACATTGTTGTTATTGGGTATATGCAGAACCCCATAGTGTCCTATGATGAGAAGCTGGCAGACCACCACTGTGTACTTCTGGTTAACCTTCCTCTTCAACAAAACCACTCGCCTTCCTCTCTTTACAAGCACTGTTTAAAGGCATTTGATAAAAAAAATCAGCCATAAATATACACCCCAATTTCCACTTCACCTTCAAATTCATATCATACGACAGCTATATTCCTGGCAAACTCATCATCAGGTAATCATGCTGGAAAAGTTACTACATATTAAATGATTTAAAGATGTGCATTGGGCAGGACTGACGGACAGCAGTTTATATCCGGAACTAGAAGCAGTGTGTGACTCCGATAGGCAGCTACACGTCATGCTGCTGTATTGGCCTGATACCGGGCTGTGTCTAATATGGTGGGGATTGACTTCCTCTTGCTAGCTTCCTGGTAGTAAAGGGGATTTTAACAATTTTACATCCCCAGATCTTCACACCTTCCCTCAGGCCCTCTGCCCTCCAAGCCTTAAATATTAATGGTAAAATCGGAGGATAGTGTACGAGTGAGGATGGTGGACAGCTTAATCATGGTAGAGGCAGCCTCCCTCTCTACTCTCCCTTAACGCTGTAGGCGGCTGTCGCCACGACCTACATGATGTAATCACCTTCATAACTCTGATATAGGCCACCAAGGGCCTGGCAGGGAGATATAGAGGGACAGAAAAGAGCTGGGGGGACCTTTGGGGTCTACCAGCAGAGGATTCTTTTAAGTCAAAACTCAGAGAGGGAGTGGAGTCGTAAGGATAGTGAAGGACACTATAGCGCTGCAAAAAACATGAAAAGGCTAAAAAAGTTGTTCTTACTGCCTGATCTCTCAAATACAACCTCAGCAAAAGTAAGAAATATTGCCAGATCTTCAGTGTTGCTACTTTCCCCTATTCAGTCTGCCTGTAGTCACCTCACCACATTTGTTTCTCTTTTGACAGGTATTGCATTTTTATATGGGTGATATAAATCGTGGAGATTCTGTGAATACCTACCTACCACATCTCAGCCCCATTTTGTTAACCTAAAGACAGATAACATGTATCATACAAATAAGACATTTGGGAGATTCTACACCCTCGAATGCACTGCAAGCATTGGCAGCAATCAACTATATCATTTTAAATAAATTGAATAAAAGCATCTCTATTACATTATGAAAGATTCACAACTGAAGAGATATGATCTACATTTTAGGGCACAACCTCATTGAATAAATCACTTGTCATTTTCAGAGCCACTGCATAAATGAAGGTTTAGGGAGGCATTTTGTTGAACATTGACCATGGTTTGGTCACCTTTTTTATACTGAGAACATAAGAAGGAAAACTAGGACAGAGTTGTCAGAGGATAGCCTATGCCACCATTCTGTAATACGTTTTCATCTCCCTCAAATATCCTGACAGCTCAGAGAGGGATGGGTGTTGATGCAGCATGAAGTTTTTGATCTGAGGATGTTATAGTTTGTCAGCACAACTACAGTTCATTATCATGATACCTTCAGTTTGGCCCTCGCTGCCATTTCCAAAGTTTAGATTTTCAGCTAGACAAGTTACTGAGGGGAGCCGTCGGCACTTTCTGCGAGAACAAAATGGGATTACCCTTTTGTGAAGTTGACGGACCACAAGACTGCATTTGGTACAAGACATGTATTCATTGTTTCTCCAGTATCTGAGAGGCAAACACATTTAAACTAAAGAATTGAACACTAGGTTTTTGCAGTAGGCAGTGGAAGTTAGCTTTGTGAGCATTGGCTGGTCCTTTAGTGAACATTTAAAGAGTCAGTAAAATATTTCACTGGACTAAAAGCGACACAAATAATTGATGGGGGAAGTTTGAACAGCATAAGGGAAGCTTCCTTAGAGACCATGGCTCATTATCTGTCAGTATTTCCCAAGTGGACTGAAGGGTCTGAATAAAACCAGTGATGTGAATACGAAACAGGTCACTGCTACCCATTTGGACCTGTTCAAATCAATATAATTGATTTAATTGATGCAGAAATAGTCATGTGTTTTCAACAAGGTCCAATAAGTAGTGCAAGAGATGGCCTCCTTACCCCGTTGATAGGATACGTCTTCCATCCCAGCTCTCCAAGAACAGACGTCGTATCCAGCAGCACAACTGAAATGGAAAAAGAAGCGAGAGGAAAATGCAACCATTAGCAATCTGTCAACACACAAAAAGTCCTATTTTGGAACTGGAAATTGAAATATCAGTCATAAACATGTTCATTTAAACTATTTGTATATTAACAGAAATGAGTTTCTAGGATGAATATTTATGAGCGTGGTGGCGTGTGCTGTGGGAGCAACATTTATGCTACTTGCGACACAATTTGGGGACTGATGGATTACAGTGAGATTGCTGTCATCAGTCCATTCCCTCCCAATATCACTTTCTCCCATCCTCAGCCTTGCTTCAATCTCACTGACAACATGCTCTTCTTCTGCCTAAAGCTGTTCGAGATATACAGTATAAAGGGGATAGATCTCTGCTCAACTCTTATGAAACTTACTGCAACGTATACATCCTACTATCCTGCCTGTAATGGTTCTTAGGTATGCTTATTAGAGCTTCATATTATAGTTTTCCATAGTAAAATAGACAGGGACATTAATCTTGGTGCAGAATAATAAACAATTTCAGTTCACTATAACTTTACAGGTATTGTAAGGATACAAAACAATTTCCCCCTCTAAAATAAGAATAATGCTAGCCTTTTTCAACATTTTGTCTAGCTCTCAAGGACTGTAGGTTTAATAATTTAGGAGGACTGCATCTCTCCTAGTACAAGTTATTTACAGTGTAAAGGAGCAGACATGGTTAACTGAATGTGTGATGCCACCATAACACCACTGAATACAAAATAAAATAAAAAGTAGCAATAACATCTGACCTCGTTACTGTTGTGTTTTATACAAAAATAAGATCCTTGAATGTAACATTGAGCCAGTCCAGTCATCTGTTCTGTGTGGATGACATAGGTATAAAATAAATGTGAGTGATATCTGGCAGAGAAACGACACTCGACTCAAGAGGCTTGTTAAAAGACCATTCGCCAAAAATCTCATCTTTAAACTTGTCCTTGAGCAGCCATTGACTTAGATTTTAAATGTCAAGATGTGAATCCCACAAGCTTTATACTGACACTGATTTCTGACTATCATTGGTATTCTTCTACTTGAAACGACAGTTTTAAGTATCAGTCAATCATTAATGTCCACTTAGAGCTCTTTAAGTGTTCCTTGGGGGCCTCGTTATTCCAACACAAATGTCTATCAGGGACAGTATCTCCATTGACATCATTGCTCACCAATATCTCGTTACTTGAACTGAACGCACAACAGAGAACAATGCTCTAAAGATATATAGATGTGTGAATTCCAATGTCAATGCTACAGAAAAGTGATGTTTATATCTGTGAAAGCATAAAGGATGGAGCATTTCTGAATGTGTCTGTTCCCAGTTAGCCAGTACACCCCTGATGGAGCGTGGTTGACAGAGATTTCATTTTGTGTGCATTTATGCGTCTTTCATTCCCAACTAAATGCTTCTCCACTCCCCCTCAGCTCCCATAAGATGCAACGCAGTGACAACATGTAGCATGTTCTGAATTAGATAAATCAGGTGCATCACAAGATCCAAGAGTTAAGAAAAATATCCAGTTGTCAAAAACTGCGACAAATGAAGAATACAAATCTCCTAACTGATCATTTTCTGAACTGCAAATGCTATGTATCAAATGCCCTTGAAGAGCATTTGTAAACGTTCATATTGGGCTCATGAAGCTTCTCTTTGATGATTATAGTTAAATGTCACACATCAGATAATGAGTTGCTGCTCTCCTTATTATAATACCAATGATGTCTTTCACATTTGGACACTATTGCCAGACATGGAATGCCAAAAAGGGGAATTATGGAAATTCACTATCATTTTTGAATCCATAAATGTAATTTACATTTCATTTATTTTAATGTTTGGCCACCGGGGCCAGTAGAAGAAGCTGTGACAAATAAAATACCAGCTTTTAAATTAATGTGGCAAACTGTTGCCCATACAAAGTACAACAAATATAAGGCAGCATTTGTATTTATTTTGGAGTAGTGCTTCTGGCCACTCACCTTGTCCAGTATTAACTCTTTTTATAGCTTTAAATGCTCCTTGTGTCCGTTTGCCAATTGGTGTTGCAGCTGGTAATCTAAATTGAGTTCATTAGAGCATTTGCCTTCAGCATAGGTTGATTAGAGTAAAGTAAAAACAAAGTTTAGTTGCCAAAAACCAAAACAATTAGTAAAAAAGGCCAACATGCTCTGCATAAGTAAAGTGATAGTCATCTGGATGCTCATCACTTTGAGAGACATATTTTCCATTGTACATTTAGTCAATTGTTAATATTAAATAATAATTTTGCAGCCTTAACTATGTTTGAATCTCAAAAGATATATGTGGTATAGGCCTCTCTAAATGTGCGTAACAGTCTGGTGGATACATATATGTGCATGTGTGTTTGTATATACTGTATATATGAAGATTGTGTGAGTAACATTTGATGTGAAATCCTTATTTTACTACTTAAACACACATTCTAATGCATTCTGGCCTCATTGCCTTACCAACCAAAAATCCATTGACATATGCAGGGAGATGCAAAAGCAATGAGCTGCTGAGGTCATGTTAATGGAGTGGGAACTTGAGTGTGCCAGAGAAAATGTTCGGTGCCCAAATGGCTATGTGTGCTTCCTGAAACCTGGGTTATAGGGTAAGGGTTTTTAAGGAGAGAGAAATGTTTCTCCCTGAGATTTCAAGGTGGCATTAAAGAAATGTCATCTGTAAAAATCCATGACTCACAGCTGGGGATTGTAAAAATGTGATTCCCTGAGCACAAAGGAAGACACAAGGAGAAACACATACTGTGCAGCAGGAGTAAAGGAGAACAGAGAGTAAGATCATTTCTTAAAGTATTAGACAGTTTACTTGGCAAATATGCATTTTTATCAATACAAACATTTTTGTTAATGAATGTTATTAAATGATGATATTTGTTGGCTGTAAATGTATCCTTTTTCAGATTGCAATTACCTGTGAACCCCAAACGGTTACTTTATTTGCTTCAAAAACCCCATTTGTCTAAACATAAAATATTAAACTCAATGTACTACTCTTCACAAAGAAGCACCTAATAAAACCTGTTGTGTTATATCAATCTGAGCGTAATTGGAGAAAATTGACATTGATCTGTATAAAAATTTAGCATATTTCTCTATTGATTAACCATCCTGTCCAACACAGCGAGGGAAGGCGTCATGTGGATCCTTTCATACTTCTCTTCTAATTCTGTCCCCACTGCTATGCAAGCCTAATATTTCCTCCATGTTGGATCAGTTCCAGTGTGTTTTTCTGCCAACCAGTCAGCTCTGTGCCATGTCAGTGTCCGTGCCAGGCCGCAGGACTAGCTGGCAATGCCATGGTGTTAATGGACACCATTAGACTACTGTGGGCAGGTATGCAACACAGTGCCTGGATGATGGCCTAATTACTGCAGTTTCACACTTCACTTTCCCATAAATAAAGAACAGATTATGTACATTAGGAGGCAGTGTGAAAGTTATCCAGCAGAGAACATTGCACTTTAAGGTTTATAAGATCCTAGAAAAAAAAGGCCTGGTGAAGAAGTTGTGTGTATTCTTTTAAAACAGCTATTGCAAAACATGTACAATATATGTACAACACTGTATACTGAAATGTGAACGTACAGGGGTTCTTGATTTGTACAGGTATTCAGAATAAAACACCTCTTGTTGCTGATATAACAGGAGTTCAATTCTAACCTTACAACTCATTATTAATTAAAAAACATTACAGCTACAAGCCTTCAATAATTCAGAACGTAGTTACAAGTATGAACAAGAGAGCAAATAAAAGTACATTATATGTTATGGTTACAAGGAGATTGACAACGCCAATAAGTATGACAGGGAAATGATACCAGCTGCCGATAAAACCTAGAGTTCACAATGAAGCAAGACACACATATTCTGACACTGAAGGGCACAGGCGTGTTTCCAAATCAGTTTATATTAAGTACATGTGGACAAAAAAAGACAAAGACTAAAGTGAGCTGAGGCCATTACATTGGGTGGCAGAATATGCTAGGTTATCCATGGGTACTGCGATATACTTACCACAGATGCAGTAACAGCAAATACACACACACATGGGAGACGCACTTGTGCTTTTCACCAAAGGAAACAGTGAAGGGGCACAACCTCTTCTAAAGAGAAGCCCCCAACTCCACTAAATCAAAGAAATAACAACTGAAACAAAGTTAAACCAAATAAGGATCCCAGTTGGTTCTTAAAAATGCAATTTATGACAAATGCTAAAAACACCTTAACAGATGAAAACAAAAGAGTAGTAAAACAGTGCTGGCAAAACAAAAGTGGCACAACAAAACAGCAGGTGAACCTACAAAGAGTACAATGGGAGTTGAAGGCCTCACCATGGTGCATACAAACATATTGCATTTAAAAGTTGTGAACCCACTCACCACATAGGTCTTAGCACAGCACTCCAACAAGTAAGCAGGACAACAATTGGCTTCTTACCAAATGATTGGCCAATATGTCACAATAACACCAACCACAACAGAGAAAAGGGCCAAAAAGCCTGAGCAGAGGCCCACAGGTGCTCATAGTCAGGCCCTCATGAGGGGAGAGGTTTGGGGAGGAGTCAGGCCTGGAGCTGCATTCAGCAACACTGCACTGCACTCACCTGGGAGGCATTCCCCAACGGGTTTCAAGATAACATAATAGTGTCTATGAATCTATTACTTACCCTCACAACAAAACTGCATTCTAAAATACTGTTTAACGGGAAATATACTTATCTTTCCAATTACAGCTGCAGTTAATCACAAGGTTAACGTTATGAATTGAAATACAACTTCAAAAATACAACAAAACTACTCTGTTAGGTTTAGTAAACCATTATGGTTTGGCTTGAAATTATGTCAAATTATTACATAAACATTCATAATTGACGTTTCTTTCAGAACATTATTGCCGATGCAGTTTTGTTGTATTGAAACTTACTTTTTAGGGAACTAGGCTGTGTTGCAC